CCAAACTCAATACATGCATAAAAACCCTCACACAGGGTTTGACAACGGAGTTAACGGTCCAGGCACATGCCTGACATCCCAAGACGTGCCACGGCAACCGGTGGTCAACACGTGGCGGAGCTGTAAATCAAACCTACATCCAACAACAGAGCCTGCTTGGCTTTGGTGATGATATCTTCGACCTTGCAGAGGAGGCTGCCGTACGGGTGTAGCTACCGCTGACTATGTAGCTCAAATCGGGTCGCATCCCTCTCAGGCATGTTACATGCTGTTTGTCGCCACTTGTCGTTACATAATATTACATCACATGTTTTGCCGCGCACGCTTCGTGCGCTTTTGCCTCATCCGAAACAGCGAGCAGGCAGTTCGGGAAGCCTATGCTACAGAATAGCTGCCAGCAACTGCTACAAATCCAACGATGGTGATTGGCAGCCAGCTGATTTGCCGGCAGTCACATAAGCATCAGGACAACAAGGCGCTCATCATCACCCCCCTAATCCACCTCGAAGGATTTGCTGACCCTGAAGGAACCGTCATGGCATTTAATTGGACCCCCGCTCCGTGAGAATGGAAGTGATACATGTGATACCTTCTCGCCTTCTTCTTGGTCTCTTCATCTTCCAAGGCAACAATCGCCTAGCCCACTATCTGCACAGAAGTTTCCACGTGCAGGCCAAGGGAGCTGGGTCACAGGATTCAAAGGGCTGCAGGGGGGTACCGTAACTGCAGTGACATGGGGAGGCTGTACACAGCTTCATATTCCGACCACAGGCAGCAAGAGTTCATCTCAGCGTGCAATGCCTTGTCCACCATTTGCCCGGCCATCTCAGGCGTGATAATTGGCATGGAAGGAGCTGCCATGATCGCGGTCGTAAGCGAGTGGTATGGCTTTAGCTATATGGCATCTACACCTTACGACAGCCAGGCAGCGGTCCAAACAAAGAGCACGCGTGTCGCAAGACACCCTCTCTGCATTCGCGTGCCAGCTGACTCCGAAGAAACAGCAGCCACGGCATCTGCTCGCGCACTTTTGCATCGCAAGCTCGCAGAAGGTCTCGCTTGGCGGAGCCCAGCAGTGATTCTGAAACAACGCGAGGTCAGCAAGTATGGCCAGGCATGCAATGTCACTCAACAAAGGCCTCTCAATATGGCCGCAGGAAGCGGTATCTATGAGTCTTGCTGCGCTTGTGAACCTGCTCAGTAGAAGGCTGCACGCATGACGTTCTCACCGTCTCACACATCTCCCTAGGCTGGATACTTCAGACAAGGCACGGCCACATTGTTCTTACCTCCTCCACCAAAGGTTTGGCCGTAGCGAAAACCTTGGATACTTCAGCTGAAGCTCGCGAGCATCCCAGAACTCGTTGCTACCGTCATGCTACTCAGCTCAGACATGGTGGGGTCGAGACCTCGAGGCCCTGCAACCTAAATCATCCAAAGCATGCCCAGCAAAATGACTGCTTGCTTCTAGAGGCACGTCCTCTTACCGTATCGCCGACCCTGCCTACTCCTCCGAACAGACGTCAACATAAGTCGTAGCCCAGCTGCTATTTGGCTCGCGGTGGTCCGCATGCGCCTCCTCAAACGACTTTGCCTGTCAGGCCAACTTCTTACTGGGCCACATATTGTAAGCTGGTCTCTTTTCTTTGAAGGTTGATTTTGCGGATGCTGCTCAAGACTGCGTTAAGCGAAAGGATGGATTTAGCCGGGGGATCTTCGTGGAAAGCGATGTTCATTTTGTGCCGCCCAGCAGCTGGACTGAATTCAGCGTTGGAATAATCATGGTCCGGAGGATGCTTAAAAGACTCCAGTCAGACTGTATCAAGAAACGCGAACAATCAGCAAGATCCAAAAGAATGAGAAAACCCTATCGTAGTTTCCATTTTCTTTTCCATTATCCCCATATACCCCCTATATAACCCCCCATAATCCCTATATAGCCCCTATATAACCCCAATGTTACCCCAATGGGCAACCCTATATATGAGAAAACGATTCCAACTAACATTCCCCTGCTGGCATTTCCACCGGCCTCTCCCAGGCGCCGCCGGAAAGCGGCGGTAAGTTGCGGGCTGTCCCGCCACCAGAGGTTGAGTTCTGGCTGGACCTGTAAAATTCTTAGGATATTACCCCTGGGGTTAGGACACAATTTTTTCTCACAGGGGTAACAAGCCCCTAATTAGGTAGACTTGGAAGCGTGCCGCTTTGCAGTACAAGTAAGGCTAGTGCTGATTGGATTGCCAGCTGGTGTGTTGGGGCTTAAGATCTTGTTGAATGTTACTCCAAATGTAATGTCACTTTGCTAAACTCAGTGCACGTTTGGTCTGCAGGACATGCTGTGAAGTTCGAGAAAGCGTTCGATAAGATCTACCGGACCGAATTTGTTCACGTGGCCAAGCAAGTCTTGATAAAAAATGATTCAAGTGAAGTCTGGCCTCAATTTTTCATCTGCTGCAGGCAGCGGCTGAGTATCAGGCGGAGCCCTCCATGAACTCTTGCCGAGCTGGATGCATATAGCCCTGGCGCAGCAGCTCTCATGCAGGAAAGCTTCTGAAAGTAAGTTCAACGCCCTCCACTAGCGCCTAGCTCTTCCAGAATGAAAGTTGTAGTAGAAAGGTCGATCAACATGATGACATCACTACAAGCAAGGCTGAAATGCGATTGCTTTCCGTCCCCTGGCCACACTAATTCAAATCGCACCTGGGCTGGCAGGTAGTAGGGCGAAAACCTCGCAACCCGCAAAGCTAAAGACAGCTGTCAGGGCATTAGCAGTACAATCAGTACAAAGGTATGGTGGCTGCTGCCCGATGATTATGTTGTTCGTCAGGCCGCTAAGCCTGTTTCTCAAAACTTCCCTCAAAGATGCTTGCAACAATACATTCAATACAAGACGTCACTCGTGTTCCTTGTTGTCTCAGCATACAGAAATCCGCTTGGGATGCCCAAGGGGATCATTCAAGTAAAAGCTCCGTCTTGGAAGAGAGTGAGTTTTAACCTATCTTCCTGTTTCAGAACAGCTCCACAGTTCATGATGGAGCCCTTCCATGCATGAGCTAAGTAATCTTAGTAGGCACTTGTCAACATCAACCAGTGAGTAGCAAGGGACCCAAGGCATCAAGCCTTCTCCTGTACTTAAGGTTGTGCGATATCTGCCAGGGATGCAGGTTGGTCATCTTGGGGTCCGAACTTGGCGTGCTGCTTTGCCATCCACTGGCCTGAAGCTTCTTTCTTAGCCTCGTGCACCTCGTGGCATCGACATTCATGAGGACCGCAGCAGTAATACTATTGCTAGGGATGGTAAGGCAAACACGAAGACGACCCTGGGGAACAGCAGGCTGGACTGGTGAAGAAGACTTCAAATCAAGGACGGAAAAGGTACAGAAGCCCAGCAGCCGCCTCAAGACATTGCTGCTCAGAAAAGCTGAGAGCGTCAGCAGCATCATGTTTGCAACAAAGGTCAACGACATACAGAGCACTGCATAATGCTGAAGAAAGGCTGTCCGTGAGAAAAAGCTGAAGGAGCAAGTCTGCTTGGCTTCGAGCGTAGCGAGTGAACTCTGGATCCTGATAGCAGCAGGATACTGAACATCACATCACTTGGCTTTAGGATCTTTAAAAGCAGTGAGCAGAATCCAGCGGGTCCTGGCGGCTTTTCTTGCGGAGGAACACTTTCCACGGCAAGCCCCAAGCTTTTACCTGTTGTCATATGACTGTAGGAAGATCCACTTGCGGGCGCTGTGGAAAGACAAAGGATAAAGGGAGGGGCGCAACTCCCTGGTGCCAGGCCTCGCGCTTGAGTGCATTAAGGCAAGCGGCCTGTTTTGCGCTCTCTCCAATGCTCTGTCTGCCGTCAATCCATCGTTGAAACCTCCTGCAGCTACAGCCACTTCAATACCGGCAGGTGCTCGAAGCCTCGAAGAGGCACTGCAATGCCACCGCCTGCAAAATCCACCAAGGCTTGGATCTTGAGCATGTCGACGTTGTCTGATCATCTGGCGGCTCTGCAGCGAAGTCGTTCACGGCCACGCCGCCTCAACGCCGATGCAACCTCCTGGTGCCAAATGGCGCATTGCCAAGCTCAGCAGCTGGATCTCCTGCTAGACGGCCTTCACAGCAAGCCCACTTGCACAAGAACCATGTCCAGAGGACGGGCCTGGAAGGCATAGAACCTCTCTCACGCAGGACGGCCTGACCCAACAGGCAATGCTAACGTGTCAGCCGAGCCGATTTGGGCGCACCGAAAGGATCGTTCTCTGGGAGGCTGTGCAGGATCCACAGCCTGCAGCCGACAACAGCTTCGTGCATGCAAAGCAGCTCAGAGCCGAATAAAGTTGATTGATCAGTAAGTCAGGGGCTCTGTGCTGTGGACGGCACGCACGAGCCTTTGAACGAATGTGTACACAGGGCCCGCAATGAGCAGCAGAGTCTGCACAGGCCTGTGCGTCTCGCGAAGTCGCTGGTCCAGTGCACACCGCTGGTCCCTGCCACGTTCAAGATTGTGTATCAGCAAGCTCAAGAAGGTTTGGGCGCACACAACAGGCCCAGCACACCAAGGTGCGCCACCAGCATGCCAGAACACTGCCTGGCTGGTTCCCACTGAGTTGCTCATGCTGCCGCTCCGGAAGTGGAACTTCAAGACTGAGCCGAGGATTGGGCCAAACGCGGGATTTTCTTCAGCCAGCCTGCAGTTGCAGATAGCTTGTGAAAACAAGCCTCTTGCGCCAGTACGCTGCGACATGTGTGTGTTCTTGGCCTGTGTCTGCCAGGCGCCCGAGGACCTCGTATTCACAGCCCTCACCTCAGCAAGCTGCGACTGGCAATGAATCCTGGCCAAAGCCCTAAAGGCCAAGGTTCGCACAGTTCAAGTACACCAGGTCAGGGGAAAGACCCTCAGTGGCCCAGCTTGCAACACGAGACCCTGAGCTCAAATCCCACTCCGGAGCCGTACCTGGAGCTTCTGCAACTCCGAGAAAGCCGCATCGGCATCACGCAGCTCTACATCCTCTCGCAAAAACTTGCAAACACATCAGAACTTCTGTGCAGGCCTAGAGGCGTCGCGTAAAAGCTCCTCTCCTGCTGCGTTCCGTTCCAGTGGTCAATGCCGCTGCGCTGGCTACGCTGCGCGCCCCACACCTGGCCAAAGTCAGCATTCCAACTGGAACTCCCAGGCTCCGCTGCAGAGAAAGTTTGTGCATCATGGTGGCCCGTACCTAGCCTTACAGTGGCTCTGAAGTCCCCCACCTATCATTCAAAGCCTTGGATGTACAAGAGGTCCTGCAACTGCATCATGCCAGGCTGGCTCGAAAATTTGCCTTTCGCGTCCGCCCCGCAAGACCAAACTTGAAGACTTTGCGTGGCCTACATGTGGCTTTCTCAAGAGCATGCTGCGACTTTCAGCAGCTCACAAGGATCCCAGTCTTCGCACCAAGTAGTTTACATCTCGGAATTCAAAACAGGCTCCAGCAGCAGATGCAGATAGTAGAATAGAAGGATCAGAAGCTGAAAGAAACTGAAGGCCCAAAAGCACGCTTGGAAGGTCTTGCAGGCGCCTGGAGCTGGCACGATCCTGGAGCCAGAATTTCAATCGACATTCACTTGTATGAGGTTGACCTCTGTGCATGCGGCTCACATGTGGCACCCAGTCCCAGGTCAAACTCCCATGCAAATTGCAGGTCCTTCCCCACCCTTGATTCAGGGGCTTTTCTCATCAAACCCAAATCTGGCGAGCCATGATACATCAAGTCCTGAAGCTGAGTGAGATTCTCCACTGGCTCGAAGCTGTAGATTTCAGCGGTTGGATTAGCAGCCTTGTGATGGACTGCAAACCCTAAGATGTCAACTTCATCATGTCTCCTCCGTGCCGCGTTCTCCAAGGTTCCCCATGATGGGGGTTTTGTGTCAGCTTTAGGGCAATACCAGCTCCGAGCCGTCCCTCGGCACTCTGGCATGAGTTCAGGTGGTGGTCCCATACTTGGAGTATCTTTGAGTAGACCTTGGGTTTGCGAACTGTAGGTTTCAAGGGTGCGCGCGTCGCAGACGTCATCATGATGCAGCCGCCCTTTTCTTCAGTACTCTTAGTCTTGGGCCATGGTGCCAGACCAGGTATCGCCCCAGGACTGACCAACCTCAGCATCAGTCAATGCTGAAGGCTTGAAAGTATCCTCATCCAAGCCTAATGAAGGGCACCCCTAGAATCTTGCATGATAGATCTTTAGGGTCCGGAAGGGCCACCCATTTTGAAAAGGGACGTGTCCTGTGTTGCAGAGGGACAGGCCTTGAAGATCACTGGTGCAGCACCTGCATGCAGCATTGTTTGGTAAACATAGCCATGATTGTGGTCTTTCCGAGTGTCGTCTGACGTGAGCCGCACTAAGGAAATGCGCATAGGCCCTGCCTGCGGACGGCACTCTCAGCACGTCGCCCTTGAGGACCTAAGTCCCGCCAAAGCTCAGTAGGACGTCATCACGAATCTACAGCCATGAGTCTTCCCTCTTTTGGGTCCCGAATGTTCAAACTAGGTTGTGATGGCTTTTAGTTGTACAAAACTCAAGGGTAAGGAAAAATACGTGGGAAGCGGGCTTGAGAATACCAAGTAGGCCTCTGCAAAGTTCAACACAGGTTGCTAAATTGCATATTGGACGACAAAGATCCTTGTGGGACTCAGCCTCTGTAATAAAATTCCCTACAGGGTTTTCCAAGGAATCAGGCCAAGAATTGCCCATAATTTCTCACCACCTATTTGACTGATGTCCAACTAACTCTCAGCTGTAGTACACTCAGTTCAGTCGCACGGCCTGCAAGGCAGAGTCTTGGTCCATGGTCTGTGGGTACCTTAGCTGTTGGGTAGCACGACTCAATGATAGCCGTTCCTTTAACTAATATTCATGATGAATTCTGCCGCTCTATGACGGAAGACTGCGTATGCCTTGCAGCGCTCCTGCCGGAAACCTGATCCAAGAAGCCCCCGTCTTCCAGGCTTATGCCACACTGCTGAGACGAAGCACGTCCAGTGTGCCGCATCCGGATCGCGAGAAACTGCCACACCTGCGAAGTTGCATGGTTTTTGCATGCTGGGCTGCGTCGGTCTTAGTATCCTGAGGGCGTGCCAGCAGTTTGGCTCATCCCAAGCCAGAGAGCCGGCCCAATGCAACACTTGTATTACTTCGACTCGCTAGCTGCCTGGAAGAGCACTGTCTGCCTCTTTTTTTGCACTGTTTCTGCACACCTTCGACGACCGGCCAAGCAAGTTTCTGCTCGGCAGACGGTGGGCGCGGCTAGGGGGTTGCCTGAAATCACTCAAGTGGCTCGAGGTGTCCTGGGTCAATGGCACTGAAGACTGTATAAGATTATTATCCCCTGCCGCGGCGCATTAACTAGCTTTCAGCTGGCAGCTGTATTTCACCGCCGCTGCAAGCAGGGATTATACCTGGCAGTCATGCGCACGCCAAACTGCATGCAAAACTGCGTGGCACTGTTTTCAGCAATCCAGATTGAAGATAGATCTATTGCCGGAGTTGCTTCTGAAAGTACCCTCGCGGCCAGTGCCAGATTCAGGATTGGCATCAAGATCAATGCACAGACACTCTGACCTTGCAGAGTGACATGCAAGCAAAAGATCAAATTCTAGGCTTGTTGGCCATGTCTTCAAATCGTTACACGACCCTGTAAGCCAGTGTCAGATTGCTGCGCGGGCTGCGGCAGGCCCTGATTCTGCTCTGGGCCCTCTGCCGTAGCGACTCCTGCAACTGGGATCCAACCGCTACTCTCACAGCACTTGCGCTCTCCACGAGCCCTGATGACAAGGCATCCGCTGGGTAAATCCATGCTTCAAGCTTCACGACCCAGGACGGATCAAAGCAGGAGAATGCACACATCAATGCATCAGAGAAAGGACCGGGTGCTGCTCGGGGAAGGGACCGTGCACCATCCGCATGATCAGACCCGTGTTTGCGACATGCTGCGGTGACCCCTGGCTTCTCAACCATTCACTGGATGACCCCGACAATCTGGAAAATGCAAACCCAAGCTCGCTCACGTTGCCGCAACATTCTATGGCCCCAGCACTGGCACCAGGGCCAAAACAGTTTCTATTTTCAACAATGCCAACATCAATTCAAGTGCATCCCTTCCTCTGACCACGCCTGACTTTGCAGCGCGGCGCAAAAGGAAGCCCACTGTTCCAGCACCAACCTGCGCTATGTTTCAGACAGTTAGCTGCTTCTGCAAGCCCAAGGGCCTCATCCGATTTACAAGTTCTGCCCGCATTTGTCTTTGCAGAACTGGACAAGGGTCAAGAGCAAAACAGATGAAGGATAGGGCTCTGCCTTGAGGACAGGAGTTTTTGCAGGCGATCTACCAAAGTGAAAGCGTTTGACCATGTCTAGGTAAGTGGCTAGCAGAATGAACAAACCCTGTACTTATAACCCAGGAAGCCCAGCATGCGTTCACCAAGTATGCATACCCATACAGGCACCCATCCTGCTTGATGCAGCCAAGCAACCCAGAACGTGCAAGGCGTGCGCGGTCTGGCAAAGCCAGGTCCAGGCCCGCAGAGCGGCGCAGGAGGCCCTGCCGCGCATGTGGCTCACGGGCACAGGAACTGTAGGTAGCAGATGGTACCAGGAATGCTTCAGATTTGTCATGGGAGGTATCCCTCCTGAATAGTTGGAGTTGGCATCTAAGGTTGCAGGGTCCTG